ATGATCCAAAACTCATTGACAGTTTGCTTAATATGTATGATTATGAAAGGAGCCTCTTGAAGCCACATCTCTGTGTGGTGACACCTGGTATGTGATTCACCACACATCAAGCTGCCAATTTCAATTTTGTTCAGAATGTTTCTTACCATCTCCTCCTACCCGCGTGTCAGTATTCGGTGTAGTCGTCCAGGCCCATTTCATCCATATTTCCTTCCCTTTGGGATAAGCAGATATTGATCTTGGTTTAAGGAACCCCAAACCCTTTTCACAGGCCTTTCTTTACTGACACAGTTTGCCAACTACAACCCAGAAGGCTACAGGAGATGTGAAAGCCGCATCCTTGAACACCCAGCTCCCTGGGAGCTCCCCCACAGCACTTTGCCTGAAGCTGCGGGCCTCTTACTGATCAGCCAGGATAGATGCAGACTTCCCTTCTCCTCCTCCACCCAGCGGTTTGATAACGGTATGCATGTCTGTCTCCCACACTGCCTTGTACATTGTTGGCCCTCAATAAACGGTACAACCAAAGCTGGTGTATGCTCACTGTCACAATGTTCCAGACTGCTCATCGGGCCCCAATCTTGGATTAACAGACTCTCCCTGAAGAAGGTACAAGGGTCAGTAGCAGCTGAAGAACTCACACCAGACATTCCACCAAAGGCAGAGAAACACCTGCGGAGGAAGGAAGTCCATGTGGCAAGTGTACCCTAGCCATGTGCAAAACCCGAGCCACCAAAGGCCTTGGGAAGGGCTAGATCAGAAAAGTGTCTCTGAAGCAATAAAGGGCCAACCACATGGCCAGAGGCTCCAGAGAGAAGGCTCTCAGCACACAGAGCAGCAGACCACTCGGTGTGTTAGTCACCCTGCAAGACTGGCATGCGCTTTCTCTGACAGGAAAAGAGAATCCACTCTGCCACTCAAAGCCAGGTGTAAGCACTGGCTTACACTCCTTGAACCAGAGTGAGCGCCGGCCCTTACCCCTGACTGACATCACTGAAGTCTGCAAGGAGGAAGGAGGTCAGCCCCACGCAGAAAAGAATTAACAGAGCAGGCCTGAGACTGCTCATCTTCTGAAAGGCCCGTGTCCAAGGCAGGCCCTTGGCTGGCGTCTGCAAGTCTGGACTGGGGAGAGCTCCCCCCTCCCCGCCCCATTCCCTAACTGGCAAGGGTGGCTGACTACAACTAAACTGCTTGTACAATGTGGTCTACGCTGAACACCTGCTTTCCTTCTGGAAGTCTGGACTTTGGGAACATGCCAGGCACGGGGTACCCATGTGACGAGCCCCCACCCAATAAAAACCCTGGGCACTGAGTCTCTAACAAGCATATGTGGTTGGCAACATTTCACATGTGTTGTCACAACTTGTTGCTGGATGAATTAGCATGTCCTGTGTGACTACACAAGGAAAGGACCCTTGGAAGCCTGCACCTGGTTTCCCCGGACTTCGCCCCACGCCCCTCTTCCCTTTGCTGATTGTGCCCTGCCTCCTTTCACTGTAATTAAAGCACAGCTGTGAGCACAATTCAATGCCAAGTCCTGTGAGTCCTCCTAGCGGGTCATGGAACCTAGGGTTAGTCTTGGAGACCCCAACACAGGACCCCAGCAAGGAGTCTCCCCGATGTGAGGTAGGTAGACAACTTAGCATGGGCTGAGTCAGAAGGCTGTTTGAGTCCTGGTGCTGCCCACGAGCTCCTACTTCTTCCTCCATTTAACAGGACAATAAGGAAGAAGCTGCACTCGTCACTGAAACTGTGAACTGGAAATTGTTGACACCTGCGGAGAACCCCACAGATGTGTGGGCCTATTATCCAATTGGATCTAACATTTTAGGGTGGAGGCCTCACCTCTGATCCATGGCCTGCTTCCCACAGGGTCTTGCACGTGTAACACGTGCAAGGCAAACCATCAGGTGCACAGGAAACTAGTTTAAAGAGCTACGAGACTGTGAAAAGCCCTTTTAAAAGCTTTATCTTTGCTCTCCATTCCTCCAGCCACTGCCACACTGTACAATGTGACAAAGCATCCTAGGTATATACAGACAACATGCACAAACACTTGCAACCCTATGGAATACAAATGAGGACCACAGATAGTCCATTGGGTCATTGGGCCTATTTCGACACATTCAACCCTGTCAACATAATATATCCAGATAATCTGAATTTCTAACTGTCACATCTCTGGCACTCCTGGCTTAAGCCAGCAATCTCCAATTTATCTTCCCAATCTTATTTCAGCAAACAAGTTTTTGAAATTGAAAACAAATTAAGAAAAATCCAAGTTGCACTAACATACTTGGCTTTCTGAAATCCCATAAAATCACAGCCAATTCTCATTCATTCACTCACTCATCCATTCAGACTAACCAAGTTACTGAGAGCGTATCAACGGCAAAGCACCACGCTAGGCTCTATGCAGAATACAGAGAAGATGCCGAACTTGGAGTTGGTGTCCCTTTGGTACAAAGCTGTCTGCAGAGATGCCCATATACACAATCTGTAAACTCCCAGAGGAGGCAGACATGGTCCTTGGATCAGCCAAGGGCCACTGTGGGTATTTCAAACAGGAGAAATCCCCTGCAGGGAACTGCTACACAGGGGATGGAACTACTGAAAGAGAATCCTGGAGAAGTCAAGGCAACTCCAGGGCCATCAGGGTGGGGAGCTAGCACCAGAGCAGGGGTGCACTGTTCACGGCAGAAGCTGGAAGCTTGGACACCAGTTAAGCACAAGGCAGACCTGAACCATGTTGTGGCACTAGAATTGGAGAGGAGAGACGAGAGAGACAGGCAGGGCTCGGCAATTCCACCTGCTGTGGGATGAGGGAGGGAGGAGGCAGCCAGCACAACTCAGAGGTTTTCAGCTATTCATAGAAACAGGAAAGTTAGGAGGAGGAGCAAATTTTGTCAGGAAAATTACAATACGTGTCACTAGACCTTGCTAAGAACATTGGTTGGCACTGTGCTCCTCCAAAATATGCTGCTAGTCCACTCATAGAAGTCTGCAACACCCTTGTGCTAATGTTGAGAAAATATACTTCAAACAAATATTTACACATTGTCAACCTGCGCATTCCTTTTCAGCCTCCTAACAGTCTCACAGTATGAAACACTGAATGATATTTCAAATTAAAGCTGTATCCAATATAATAAGGCCAGGATGCTCCTGCTAGGATGGAGACCCCAATGGCTTAAACCACAGACTTGCACTCTCAACTTCACTTTTTCGGGGACACTTTGCAACTGGATAGTCTTTTCCATCTCTGTCCTTTGAGTATTACCTAAACTGACATTGACATTGACAACTACTTCCTGGTGCCCAGTCTCCATGTGAGTTGCCTTTGCGAGTTAGCCCCACTGGAGGAATGAGTACATGATCCATCCTAGAGGCAAAGATGTCTTGGTGTGCCGTCTTCTGTTACCTGGCCACCAGTGCAAAATGGTCCCAGCTCACCAAATGTTCAGTGATCTTCCTCAGCCAGAGGACTTACAAAATTTACTTTCACTTGACTGAAGCCTTCTTTCTTATAGACCCAGACTAATTTCTTTGAGGCCTTCCTTGCCAACTGGCTTAGCCATTCCTACCCATAGATCAGTCTGAACAATAAATAAATTAAAACAAATGCTTCTGTTTGAAATCATTTCCTGGGAAACAAATGTCATTTATAATGTCACCAAACAGGTAACTCATAATACAACAAAACAGAATTTTGCTTAACCAGATCAATTTTGTCACTAATGTAGAAAAAGCTTATATTTGGAACACTCTCTCCATAAGAACTTGCTGAAGCCAATACTTTTGAAGACTCCACATAATTTATGAATTTTTCCCTAATTTTAAGTAATTACATATTCTCTATGAGATGATAACTAGGCATGAAATTTTTTTAATGGGAACTAACAACCTAAAAAAAATTGAGCACAAAACCATATTCTCCTTGTTGGTATCCAAATAGATATGTGATATATGATTAAGAGTGCTAAGCAATGGAATAAGAACCTCGTTTCCTGTATTTATTTATATTCCTAGCACATCGTTGGAAAGAAGTAAAAACCTGCCAACAATTACACATACTCCTCAGAAATTCTTTCTATATGTGACAATATTTACAAAGAGCATTTTTTTCTCTCATAATACAAATGTTACTAAGTCAGCTGTTAGCACTACGTACTTTCTCCCTTAGAATAAGCTTAAGTGATCAAAGGAGCTTCTCAAGCAAAATCCAGGGCAGAAATACCTGATGAAGCCACAATTAATGGAGAAATTCTAATCCAAACCCCCACTGATTTTCTATTAAGGTAAAAATAATGGGGATTGAAATGCAGGTCAAGACTACAAGATGTCACAGTGCACCTACTTGATTGGCAAAAATTAATGCTGACAATACCAAGTGTTGCAAAGGACACAGATCCACAAAATCTCTTATTAATTGCCGGTGGGAGTATAAATTAGTACAACTGCTTTGGAAAATAGCTTGGCATTATGTAAGGTGAGTATTCACATTCTCCACAACCCGATTTTACCCATCAAGAGGAAAATGCATAAAGAAAAAGTAATATACTCACATCCTGGACTGTTATAAAGCAGTCAAAGCACCCTCCCCCCAAATCATATACAGTACAATAAATACCCTTTTTTATAAAGTTAAAAATGGTTGAAATGAAAAATATGTGGTTTTTTTTTTTTTTTTGTGAGGAGATCAGCCCCGTGCTAACATCTGCCAATCCTCCTCTTTTTTCGCTGAGGAAGACTGGCCCTGGGCTAACAACCGTGCCCATCTTCCTCCACTTTATATGAGACGCCGCCACAGCATGGCTTGACAGGCAGTGCGTTGGTGCACGCCCGGGATCCAAACCGGTGAACCCTGAGCCCCCGCAGTGGAGCGCGCGCACTTAACCGCTTGCGCCACTGGGTGAGCCCCCATATATGTGGTTTTTTTAATTGCATGTAGATGAGATAAAACTAAATAAAAAGGAAACAAAGGGGATGGTGACCAGGATTTGGGATGGTGGTTATCCTGGAGGGGGGCAGGCTGGAGGATGGGATAGAGGAGGGAGCACAAGAAATATGTGCCCACATTTTCTCCAAACACATTTCTCTAAATACCAGGCTTCGTTTAGTTAAAAAAAAAACAAAAGAAGTTGGTCTTTCCAAATGGGAAGCTAGCAAGAGAAATGGCTCTGATTCCTTCTCCAATAGCCACATCATTCCAGCAGGTAAACCTGACTCTACCTGGCCACTAAGGAAAGGAGATCATGAATAAAAATTCTTTTACTCTGTTTTCAGCTCACAAGCACCTGAATCTTGCCTCTATTCCAGCCACACACACTTGGAGAACTACTGAGCACTGCGGGTCTGGGGAGGGTGGGAGGAGATAACACATGCACGGCGCTGGGCACAGGTGGAGCCCTCGATAACCCACCCTGCTGCGGTCAGGATTATGAGCCACAGGCCTGCAGGGCACTCAGTTCTTGACTCAGCAGGCAGGACGGCCATGCCTGGTCTAGAAGGTGCGATTCAGATCAGAAGCAGGGACAGGAGAGCGATGTCAAGTATCTGAAGTGCTGAGAGGCACAAGGAAAGGCAGACCAAAGTGTTTTCCAGAAGGCAAAACTGGAGTGCAGGGAAGAAGTGGTGATTTTGGCTGTACCTCAGCAGGGCCTTTTCTGCACACGGAGACTTACCTCCAGAAGCATTAGGCACAGCCCACAAACTGGGTGCCTCTGGGTAAGCTACTGGAGCTCTTTCATCAGGCCTCAGCTTCCCTTCCTATAACATGAGAACGAGGACATCTTCATCGCTGGCCTCACATAGGACTAAACGAGAGTGCTAAACGAGATCAGGAATCATTCATCCCACCCAGGCAAATCAAGCAACAATTTTGCCCACTCTGGAATCTAGAAATGTCTCAAAATGAAACTACAGAGTTGGACTGTGCAAGCATACACACAAGAAACTTGTCACAACCCCTCCTTCTCCAAACCATTGTTTGTCCCCACAACCTTATCAGCAAGAAATAAGAATTTTTCTTAGTTACCCAGAGAATCTGCAAATTTGAGATCACCTTGAAATCAGCCAACTGTCTATACATAGTTATTTTAAGAAAAGAAGACAGGACATCTTTGCTCTTTCAATTAAAATAAAACAAAAATGCATGAGGTCAGATTTTACTTCCACTAGAACTAGGCTTTCCTGCCACTGTGGGACACTATACTTGTAAACATTACCTTGACCCCTACAGGTTAGTAGTCCCTGGTACAATACAGATAACTCAGAAATGCTGAACTCAAGGATGAGTGGGCATTAGGACACCTATCTGGGACAGGCACAGACTTTGGAGTACAAAAGGCCCAGGTCAGAATTTCTCTCCACTGCCTACTGGACCAGCGACTTTGGACAAGCCATGTCCCACTGTCAAACCTCAGAACTCCTCATTTGTACAACACGACAATTCTGGAAACCACCTCACAGTGTGATTGTGAGGATAAAATAAATGAATGTAACATAAAACAGAGTGTGTGGTCCACAGCCAACACGCCCCATGTGTCACATCCCTTGCCTTTCAGAAGACAGAGTGACACTTTTTTCTAGCAAATCACTGATGATCTCTATCATTGCATGTCTTGGTGAAATGTTTACATACTTGACAGAGTATGGTAAGTGGGAAAAAAACACCATTTGGAATAGGATCTCTTTTTGCTCAGTTGCCTAACTCTAAGAACACTATGTTCTATGTGATCTGTATGGTACAGCCAAGTGGGCTGAGGGGCACCAAGACACAAGATGAGAGGGGCGCATAAGAAACACATGTCAGCTTTCTCCTCCAGCAGGAATTAAAGACAGTGATCTCCGTTTTGGAGTGGGAACCATCACTTAAGTTCAGTGGAGCTCCCAAATTCTCAGGGGCGTTATAGACTCAACCATCCTCTAGAAGGTGTGTTCCAAAAAGGCTAGGAAGGACTATATATCCTATGGTGGGTGACCCGAAGGGATACAGCCTGGCCGAGTGAAGTGAGCAAGATGACCTGAGTTTCAGCAAACAGCAAGGCAGGGCCCTAGTGTTTGCAATGACAGTGGAGAAGTGCTTCTCAGACTGTGGTCCAGAGCAGCGTCACCTGGGAACTTGTTAGAAATGCCAATCTCAGGTCCCTTTAGACTCACTGCAGCAGAAATCCCAGCAGGGGGACCAGAACTCTGTGTTTCAACAAGCCCTACAGGGAATTCTGATGCTCACTCAGGTTTGAGAACCAACGGTATATAGAGTGATCTGAGATCTGAGAATTTAAACCAACCATCCCCAGGAAACATACCAAGGCAACAGCCAGTAAGGAAGGAGAGAAAGCCTTCAGCATCTTTTCCCCTTTCAATCTATTTCAGTGGGCAGACAGTGTTAGCTATCTCACCTCTGGACTTCAATTTTGAATCCCATGCTGCTTCTGGGATAAGAAAGGCCACAGAGGGATGCTTCCTGGTTCTCCACAGAATGCCAAGATAGGCTCCTGAAGGGCAGAAGCTGAGTCTGATACATCTCTGAGTGTGCTGTGCCCAGCCCAAGGCCTGGCAACCAGCAAGCATCAGGAAAGGTGGGCAACAGAGAGACTAACTGAGAAGGGAACAGGCAGCCCTTCTCATGAGTGAGTCCCAAGGAATGAACAAGGTTACTGTCCTGCTCAATCCCTAACACAATGATCTTAGCTCCTGAACCAGAAAGCTCCTGAAATAAGGACTTAGGGGGCTCCACGGCTAGCGGCTGCAGGTCCCACAACTACCAACACTAGAGGGGCTCTGAGGCCCCAGATTACTCCCTCACTCCACCACCCAGCTCACTCTCTAAACCCAAGTTTGCCAGAGGTCACATCCACAGGGGACTCTCCTGCCAGAAGTCAGGGCCCCTAACCCTTGGAGGTTGGCCAGAGGCATTATTTCTCCTATTAGAGGGCATGTCCCCAAACATCCCTAGGCTAGGGGCAGTGTCCTCCACCCCCAGATGCCCTCTGTCACCATCACTGCAGCATCACCACCCTCCAAACTCAGATGTCCCACCCTGACACTTTCATACCTGTAGTAAGACAGCAGGCCATTGCTGAGCACGAACCAGCGGCGCTGGTAGCCCTTCAGGTAGTTGGTCCACTTGAGGAGCCAGCCCTTGAAGCTGTCCAGAGGTAGTAAGACCATGGCAGCAGTGGAGGTAGTGCCACTTCCTGACATTGGAACAAGAGACGTCTTCGCTTGTCCAGATCGCAGAAGAGGCAGGGGCTTGGACGCTGGCAGCGATCCTGGCTCGGGTTTGGTTAAGGGCACGCTCACGCTCCCCACTACTGGCCCCAGCGCTGGTAGCTGCTCGGATGAGGCCTTGGTGAAGGACCCAGCCCCTACACTTGAGCCCAACTCTTGCCGGAGCGCTGACCTCGTCCCCAACGCCTGCAGCAGTTCCGATCCCTGTTTGGACCCTGGCCTTGGCTCAGACGTCTTCTCAGACTCAGGCTCCGATCTTGGCACCGGCTCAGAAGCTGGCTCCGACGCCTCTTCTGACGCGGGCTGCCGCACACGCTCGGGCACTGGCTGGGGTTGAGGCTTGGGCTCCGGCCCGGAGCCGGGCGTGGAAGCGCTCATGCTCGGCGCCGCCGTGTGGCAGGACAGGCAGGGGACAACCGTGAACAGCGAAGAGAGCCCGCGGGAGCGGCCACCGAAGCCGCCGCCTCGGCACAGAGCGGCCGCTTTCCCCATAGAGCCCGCCGACCCGAGCGCGGCCGAGTCGAGGGGAGGGGGGAAGCCGGAGGCGGAGGTCGGGGGCGGGGCCGGGGGCGCCGTCACGAGCGCGCGGCGCGAGGCGGGGGCGCGCGCAGGTCTCTCCCCGGCCCCGTGCGCCCCGCGCCGCCTGCGCCCGCTGGCTGTTGTCCGCCAGGCGCGCAGCGGGCAGGACTTGGACGCCTGTCCCTCTCGCGTCGCCAGCTCCCGGCTCAGAGTCTGGCCCTTGGATGGAGCCCTGGAAACGCCTGTGGGGTGAGAGCTTGGCAGGCGGGCGACGCGGAAGGGACGGCGCGCTTCAGGCTACCATCCCTGCCTGCGCCCCAACCCGTGCCAGGCGCTGCAAGAACAATGATGAATGCGGAGCCCGCTGGCTCACAGCGCAGCTCTGCGGGCGGGGTCCTGTGCTGGCGCTCCCCCATCCCGGGTGGGTTCGCTCCCTGAAACCCAGGAAGGCGGGGGTGGGGGACTGGGGGAAGCAGGTGCTGTGCTCAGAAATCACGAAATGCTCCCGAAGCACAGGGCCCCGGCCCGGCCAGATGACACTAACAGCTGGCGAGGAGGCCCACCGTCCCCCCATGGCAGCCATTACCTGTCTGTGGGTCCTTACCGCGGCAACCCGGCTCAGTGGCCCGAAGCCACCGCTGCCTCCACCTCCTGGGCCAGCTGGCCTCTGGTTCATGCCAGGACACTTCGCTGCACGTGGCGACATAGTTCAGGCTCTCTAAACGAATATAGAAAGAGTTTTTGTAAACTGAGCTATAGTACAAGGAACACATCTAAAAGCGGATTTCCTAACTTGGACCTCCAGGATATCCCTGCGTAATCTTGGCTGGCGGTCTATGAAGCTTCTGCGGAGTTTTACTGTCTATGCATTTTTCTAGGGAGAAGGTCCATAGTTCTCATGAGATTCCCAAATGAGTCTGTGATCCTAGAAAGGTTAAACATCACCGATTTTAAATAATCTATCCTAAAGGGAAAGGTGGATGGTTACCACAAACAATCGGAAATACAAGTTGAAAGGTTGGATGCTAGGCTTCCACCCAGACACTTAACAGCTCTAGACCTCTATGCAGGCTCCCCTCTGCTCATCCTAAGGTGTCTTACCTCCCCTTACCCATTGTTCGTTCCTCATCTTTGCTTGTGACAAGACTGCCTGTGCAGGGACCAGCCTCCTAAATGAAGTGATGGCAAGAGCTGAGTAGACTGAAAGGTCCTAGAAAAGGAGGTGCAGACACTCCCCTAAGCAGAAGTCCCTGCCATTTGCTGGTGACTCTGGGAACCCTTCCTGGGGCACCTGCCCCTGAATGGTGGTCTTACCTGCGGTTTTGCTGTGAACTCTGGAGTGCAGAGACCTGCCCATCTTGGTCTAGCCTATAAATACAAAGGTGGTCTTCAAAGTTCAGTGGGCTGAGTCACCCCAAGGAAAAATGATTGCCTGTTTTTGCCGTGGGCAGAGAACTGGGCAACTGGAGAATGGAGTAGGGTGCTTGCTTTTCACTTATACCCTTTTGAACCTTTTGAATGTTTTAACTGTCTGTTTCACCTATTCAAAATATAATAATAATTGTTTAAAATCACTCTAGGGAAACTTACTAGAAATTTAGTTTTCCATCCCCATCTCCCTGGGACTCTGAGTCAGTAGGTCTGAGGTGGCATCCAGCAGCATGCATTTTAATAAGCTCCCCGGGTGTTTCTGATGTGGACGGATCATGGACCACATTTTGATGGACAGTGATGTGGAGGGAAAATCTTGGGTTTTAGGAGTCAGATCCACTAAGGAAATCCTAGTCCAGCCACTCTGAAGCTGTGGGACTTTCAGCCACCTCACTGAGCTTCCTCTTGCTCATCTGTAAAATGAGGATAATAATCCCTACCTCACAGGTTGAGAGTAATAAAGTCATGTATGTAAAGTACATTTGATAGTAGGTGCTCAGTAAGTATTCTCTGGTTATTTACCTAGAGAGTGCTCTGTGCAATGTCTGGCGAAATGAATTAAACAGAGGCCACAGCAGAAAGAGATGAGACCAAGGTTGACAAGCTTGGAAAACAGCCACAACAATGGGAAAAGCTCAGGGCCTGCTATGTATGTGCCAGACATGTTTGCGAACCCAAGGAGGGAGCCCATCTGGTAAACAAATGCTTAATGCTGTGTGTTGACTGCTGCAATAAACTGATGATAGGGCCTAAGTCACTTGCCAGAGTGGGTGAAGGTGTCACAGGAAGGGCAAGGTTTGCACTGAGTCAGAGGGACTGGGAGTAGAAGGGCGTTCAAGGCGAAGGAACCAGCATACACAAAGTCCCAACTCAGGAGAGAATACCTTGTTTGGGCAATGACAGAGCTCAGCATCTAGCTCTGAGAACTGGGTGGACACCACACTATCAGAAATATCCTTTATCCCACAGAAAGTGGGCCACTTTCACTTTTAAAGTGCCAGATTCTACCAGTTGGAGAATGGCTGACTTCAAGTCTGGTGCAGGAATATGCCAGATGAGCCTGCCTGAGACATTCTGTCATGCCAGAAAGTAAAGAGGCTATTCAAGACCACTGTGTGTCAAAAGGATTCAGAAGTCAACTTAAAGGGGCTCCCACTGGCCAAAGATGGGACAATTTGAGCATCAGAAGGAATAATGATTAAAATGGGTCAAAACATCAAATATATAAGATCCATAAGTTAAACTCACAAGTTCCTCAAGTTACAAAAAGAAAAAACAAAACAAAAAAACCTCAGTGGTCACCTTTGGAGGTTACTCCAGCACCAATTCATTATTTTGAAAACTGATAATAAAGGGAAAGAATTAAGTCTGTATCCTATATCTCATAGTAACCAAAGAGTTTATGAGGGGAAACTCTTTATAGAAGAATTTGCTAATAAATACAGAAGGAATGACAAAATTAGAAGAAAACATTATCTTTTGGTAACCCTAATGAAATAATGGATCTAGGCACTGATCTGCAATAGCTTCTAAGTGATGAGGTTGATGGGGAACTTCATAATGGACGGATCAGGCTGAAATCAGCTGAATCTACAAAAGTGAAACGACAGGACATTATGTGCCTCTGGATATGACCCAGTAGGAAACATATAGCACCCCCATGAAGTATTTTTACTTCTCCCCTCCCCCTCCCTCCAAAAAAAACCCTAAACCTGAATCTAATCAAGCTTCTAGCTTGACCAGCATAAAAGACACGCAGGCGACAAAGGAACATAATAAACGACTCGAGTCAATCGGCAAAATCCATCAAATAGGAAAATCTATATTCAAATGACCTGTTTTATTCAATAAATACACGGCCTGGGAAAAAAGATGGGAATAGAAAAATGTTACCAGATTTAAAAAGACATGTCAACCAGATGCAATATGTGAACCATGTTTGCACCCTAATTCAAACAAACCAACTGTAAAAAATACATTTCAGGGATAACTGGGCAATATTGAACAGATTGGGTTTTAGGAAATATTAAGAAATTATTGTTAATTGTGTTACGTGTTGTAATGGTATTGCGATTGTGTTTTTTTAAGGCTTTATCTGTAGAGATACGTTCTGACATATTTATGGGTGAAATTACACGATATATTAGATTTGCTTTAAAATAATCCAACTTTTTTTTAAAAGGGGGGGATGAGAGTAGATCAAAGAATGGGCAGGTATTCATAGTGTTGAAGCTGGGTGATGGGTTCATGTGCATACATTATATTGTTTTCTCTACTTTTGTGTATGTTTGAAAATTACCATAAAATGCTTTTGTTTTACAAATATTGGGCCTTTTACATACCTCACCACCTATCTTTTTTTTAACTATTTGTTATTTCATTGAGGTCATATTGGTTTATAACATTGTGTAAATTTCAGGTGTACATCATTATATTTTGGCTTCTGTATAGACTGCATCATGTTCACCACCAAAAGTCTAGTTTCCATCTGTTACCATACATATATGCCCCTTTACCCTTTTTGCCCTCCCCCTACCCCCTTCCCCTCTGGTAACCACCAATCTGTTCTCCTTATCTGTTTGTTTGTTTATCTTCAACATATGAGTGAAATCATACGGTATTTGTCTTATCTGTAAAACAACCCTGTAAGGTCCATTTATGATCCCCGTGTTTACACAAGAGGGAACTGAGGCTCACAGAGCTAAAAAGGCCTGCCCAGAGTCACAATGCTGGCAAATGGGGAGCCAAGATTCAAACAGAATGTTCTTTAGCCCCAAAGCCTGTCCACTTGTGCAGTAAGAGAATAGAGTCACCAGATCCCTGCCCCTAGATGCCTGCCCCCCACCCCCAAAAGAAGCCCTGCCAGGCTGTCCCTGAGGACCTTAGGAGCAGGAAAAGCTAAAGTGTGACAAGCAGTGAAGGCCCTTGTGGGCTGGAAGACTCTGGGACAGCTGATCCAACCTCACACTGCAGAGGTGGCCAAAGCATCACTTCCACCTGAGGTCAGCCCTGTGCGATGGCAGAGAACACTGTCCCTATATGCCTGAGCCCAAAGTCACATTGCTAACTGTGTGAGAACCCAGGCCTTCCAGCTTCCATCAGTTTTCACTCAAAATCCAGACACATTCTCTTATAAGCTTGTGGCCACAGATAACAAATGTAGATGCTGGTTTGTGTCTCATTTTACCCTGGAAAGGAGATGTATGAGCTAAAGGGGAGGTACGGCAGCATGTAGCTAAGAGCACAAGTTTGGAAGGAAGGCCTCAGTTCAAATCCCAGGTTGGCTGCTTTCTGGCTATATGCCCCTTAGCAAGTATCTTGTAAAATGAGTTGGTGTAGGTTTCCTCTGCTATTATGCAATTAGGTCTGTCTTACCTCTGGTCCCTTTGCTAAGTGAGAATATCTGGCTGGAAGCTCTGTGTGGGGCAGAATCATAAACAGCAGAGTCAGGAGGGCTGTATTCTGTGGTGCCAACATCCACACTGCAAGCCCTACTGCCCTCAGATATTTAATTCAATTTCCTCAGAGAGGAGCCATACTGTTTTCTGCTTGGAAGAAATGTTAACCTGCACTTCACAAACCTGAGTTTGCAAAGGGGTAGGGCAGTGGGTTGCAGCAGTTATCTCCCCATCCCCACCCCAGGCTGTGTGTGACTCTATGCTTATTATATACTGAGTAGATACAAAAGTAGACACATATTATAAAATATATGTAATGCACATGAATAACCATACAAGACATCCATGGGCTCACTAACCAGTTTAAGGAATAAAATCCTCCATTTTAGTTCCCCGTTCTCCTTCCTACCCTCTTCTGTAACCTGTGGACTTTAAGCCCAAAGCCTCCCTGGGTTCTTTTAAGCCAACTGCTCCCACCTCCTCTTTAGTTGGTCAAGAGAATGATTTCAGCTCCTGCTTCCCCGTTTCATTCATCAAGCGCTCTCATCTTTTTTCCATATTCCAAGCACTTGTTGAAATTTCCAATCATCCATGATCTATCTTTATTAAAACTGAAACTCTGGGGCCGGCCCAGTGGCCTAGTGGTTACGTTCAGTGTGCTCCACTTCAGCAGCCTGGGTTTGGTTCCCAGGTGTGGACCTACGGCACTCATCAGCAGCCATGCTGTGGTGGCAACCCACATACAAAATAGAGGAAGACTGGCACAGATGTTAGCTCAGGGTGAATCTTCCGCAGCAAAAAAAAAAAAATTGAAACTCCCCCAACATGGCCTTCCCAAGCCCTCTTAACTGTTCTCTTTTTCTCCACAGCATTTGTCACCTTCCAAATGATTTATTTGGTTTACTTCTGTCTCCTCTTATTAGAATGTAAGCTCCAGGAGGAATTTTTGTCAGATTTCTTTGACTGCTCTGTCATCAGGGCCTACAAGGAGACTTGGCATGTGATATGAATTCAATGAATATTTGTTGAATAAAGTCTTTCTAGTTTTCTTTGCTATTGAGTGTTTAGTACTTTTTGAATTTTCTATACTTTTATTTCAGTGGGGTCTCAAGAAGGATGGGAGGGAAACATGGGTGCTAGTCAAACATCCTGAACTAGAAGTCTCAAAGTCAGTGGTTCTTAATGTGGGGATCGTGGACCCCATGAAAATTATGAGGAAACCTACAGAACATACAAATGGGGGGGGCCGGCCCCGTGGCTTAGCGGTTAAGCGCGCACGTTCCACTACTGGCGGCCCGGGTTCGGATCCGGGCGCGCACCAACGCACTGCTTGTCCAGCCACGCTGAGGCAGCATCCCACATATAGCAACTAGAAGGATGTGCAACTATGACATACAACTACCTACTGGGGCTTTGGGGAGAAAAAGGGAGAAAACAAAAAAAGGAGAAGGATTGGCAATAGACGTTAGCTCAGGGCCAGTCTTCCTCAGCAAAAAAAGAGGAGGATTGGCATGGATGTTAGCTCAGGGCTGATCTTCCTCACAAAAAAAAAAAAAAGAATACACAAATGGGCACTTACACCTAAAATTTTACATACAATTTATGAAGACCATAAACTTCATCTTAAGAACCTGTGCTATTAGAACATTTCTGGAAAGATGCATAGAAACTATTAACGGAGTGGCCCCAGAGAGGAGGAAGAGGGAAATTCTCCTTTCATTATATACCCTGTATACTTCAATTTTGTATATAGTACATGTATTACAATTTCAAAGTTTTACAAACTAGTTAAATATTTTAAAGGAACCTATGTTCTAACACCTTGGGGCAATCACAAACTCACATGTTTTCAGGGGCCAAGGAAGTAAATGCACTTGGCTTCAGGACAATAAGCAGTGGTGGGTGGGAGCTGTGGCTAACCAGAGCTTGTATATACCACCCAAAGCGCTTAAATGCAACCACATGAAAAACACGGTGTTGATTAAAGTCAACACCCTTGCTGCCGGCCCCAGGAGGACTATGAGTTAGCAACCTCTGCTTTGCCCTCTGCTTAGCATGATAGAAATCATAGGTTTTGTTTGAAAACCTTTCTGGGGAGTCAATGATTCCTCAGTGATGGAGTATGCAGAATCTCTGAAGCAACAGAAGGAAAAAGAAAATAGAAAACACTTTGGAAGTGACCTGAGAGCTCCAGAGAATACAGTTGGTGGTACAGGATGCCAATTGCACAAAGAAAGGGGTAGCCAAGCCTCCGTTTTGCCAACTTGTCCAGCCCCTGCCTGGCAGGAGCTCCTGGTCTGAATGGAGAACTAAGGCAGGTTAGTGAATGATGAGGGCACAAGGTATGCGAGACGGATGGATTGAGTCCAGTCTAGGAAGGAAGAGCTCACATCAGCGCTCTGTGAAGAAGGTGAACCAGAAGCCAGGCCCCAAAGGGTATGAGCTGAATTTCCTCAGGTGGAGGTGAGGGAGGGCTGTATTCCTAGCAGGGTGAACAGTAGATCAAAGGTTCAGAAGTAGAAAACCAAGAAGTTTCTTTGAAGAAGAGAGAGAATTCACGAAACTTGGCTCCCAGGAAGAATGGGAAATAAAGTTGGAAAGCTAGGTTCCACAGGATCAGGCCCTCCCAGTCCTCTAATTTGCCCTTTGAACAAAGCTAAGGAACAATTTTTCCCCATGACCATTTCATCCCTGTAGAGCTTGTGCACTCAGCCCCCCTAGAATTATCTGAAGAAGGCTTGGTTCAGGCCCCAGTGACCGACCATTGTTCCATGACCAGGTCTCCAACAGGCACTCACTGACTTAGGGAGGCTACAAGGTCCCTAATAGGCTATAGATGTATCTCAGTCCAACTTCCTCCTCCTAGGGGATTAACTGAAATATGAGGGAAGAGAGAAGTCCACCAAGGCTCAGAGATGGGATCTATGTTGCCCAGGGTCTAGAGCAAATAAGGAGTCACAGAAGCTGAACCCCCATCTTTAGATCCTTATTCCAGGGCTCACTCCTCTGCACCAGGCTGCCTCTTGAGGTTTACATGTCAACTCCAAGTACAGCACAACAGTCATAATCGCCACCACAACCCCCTTCACATGTACCTCATGAGGTGCCAGGCCTCATGTGAGGTTCTTGACGAGCATTAGCTCACTGAGTTCTCAGAACAAGCCCCTGAAGTAGATACTACAATTATTCCTGGTTTTCAGATGGGAAGCTGAAGCTCTGAGAGGGTGATATGACTTCTCCTGACAGGCAGAGCTGAGATTCCAACTGAGCCACCTGACTGCAGGGCCCACGCACATCAGATGAACGAAACCTCACTGCAGCAGCGAGGGATGAGGACTCACACAGCCCTCAAGGCTTGTGGGCAGCATTTCCAGTGGCCAAAGGGCAGAAGGGGAAAATGCAGCACAAACAGATTCTCCCTGTAGAGCCCAAAAAAGGCACCAGCCACCAGCAGGCAGGGTTTTCATCTGATTCATTTCTTTTCCCTAGGGATTGCTCAAACATAAGCTCCATGAGGACAGGGGATTTGATCAGGTTCGTTCACAGATGATTTCCAGCACCCACATCAGTGCCTGGGCCACAAGGGGAGCTCATTAAACACACGCTGAAATGGAAAGTGAGTGTCGGCGAGCGACAGGGAGAACTGAGAAAGACCAACACACAAAGCTTCTGGCTTGGGGTAGTTCCAGCAGCTGAGAGACCCAACTCAATCCAGGGGGGATGTGCACTTGAATGACAGTGACTTGGTGACAGAACCTTTGAAAATGCTCCCCGATGAGCAGATTGGCTAAAGGAATCCCATCAGGAATCAATTTGTCAAGTGATAAATACATTAGTAAAGAAAACTCACGCTGAATTATCATTTTGTATAAGCTTGGATTTTTCTGGCTTTGCTCAGAACAGGAGTTGCTCTCATCCACTTAGCAGGTATTTTTGGAGCATTATGTGTGTAAAGCCCTGTGCCACATCTCAGGATCTGAGAACTGGTAGGAAGTGCAGAGATCAGACACCAGTTGTACGTGGGAGAGCTGAAGCCCAAAGAAAGGTTACTGGGGGAGGCAGGGGGTCACAGTCCAAGGCCTGCTCCCTCAGCCCTCATAGCCTGGCAGAGTTCCAAAGTCAGCAGCTGGACCGGGCTCTGAATTATAATACCCAGAGTAACACTTCAACAAGGAGCTGGGCTGGGATGTGTCCATACCTCTTGTTTGTGCTAGGGGTCCCCAGGAATTAAATGACTTGGCCTCCCTCCAAGACCCTGACATACAGGCATGTGCCTTCCAGCAGATCCTAGCTGAGGGCACAAGTGTCTGCTGACCTCTTGTGGTCACTGTGGGATCTGTCCTGGCCCAGCAGCCAGGGCTTGGGATCTATCTCTGGGACATTCTGGTCTGGTGTTGTCACTTCTCAAAGTGCTTTCCCACCACTTACCTCCTGGAGTCCTCCCTACAACCCCAGGAGGTGAGGAGAGCCAGGATTCCCATTCCCACTTTACAAATAACTGGCAGCGCCCTGGCATCCAGTCCTAAATCCACTACTAATTCCTTATCTGACCTTGGCAATTCCCCACTCCCAGCCTCAGTTACCTGCTGGTAAAATAGGAGAAACGACCTGTACAAGGCAGCTCTAAGGTTTTTCCAGCTTCCCAAACTCTCAGAGTGGAGAGGTAAATTGCCCAAGGTCAGAGTGAATCAGGGCAGAGGCACTTCCAGTTGGGAAGTTATCCCACTTCCCCACACTGATCAGAAAAAGTGAAAAGTGTCACAGCAAACAAGAAAACCAGTTCCCCCACCTTTGTGTTCTGATTGTGTGCTGAAGGGCCGCATGGACAGAGGGACAGGTGAGTGGATGGATGGCTGGATGGCTGGATGGACAGACAGATGGGAGGACACATAAGAACTTTGGGATCACTCTTAGCTGCAACAGTAGCAGCTACCTGACCGGCCCCTGCTCCCGGACAAGCTGCCCCTGTAATTCCAGCTGTCTCACCCCTTGGCAGGCTGCTCCACAGCCACCTCCTGGGGTTCTGAAGCCACTGTCCCCCCACCGACAGCCCTGAGCTGGGACTTGCCATAAGGAGAACGAGTCCTCATCCAAGACTCCCCCTCGTCGTGTCACTGACCACCATGGTCAACAACAGTAGCCTAGGAAGAAAGTCAGGGGCCAGGGCCATGAACGGGAGGCCTACAACATGGACATCCTTCACAGAGCAGTTCCTGTGGCCCACAGCGGCTGAAACTGAGGTTGATGCTAGCAATGACGCTGAGGATCACCAGGGCAGCTGGATGGCATGGGAAGAGCATGCCCTATGTGTCTCGCACCCTGGGTCAAACCTAGTAACTCTGAGTAGGTTCCTTAGCCTCTCTGTGCCTTGGTTTTCTCACCTGTAAGATGGTGTGATGCCCGACAAGTGTTGTTGTGAGGACTGAACAAGGTAAGATATAAGAATAAGGTAAGTTATAAAATGGCTTTGCACGTAACAGGTGCTCAGTAAACAGAAGTTCCCTCCTTTTGTTCCAGGTTGTGGAGAAATTCTGGAGAGGGAAAGAACAAGGTCCACTGTGCACTCAGCAAGTTTTCTAAATTGGGAAGTTTTTTGAAGTACTCTAAAATAGTGACATGCATTTGGTGCTAGGGGAGGAAGGAATGAAATGTATTTTCAGCAAGAACTAAAGGTATCCTCAAACACACTTGATCCCTTTAAGAGAGTATCCTCAAACACACTTGATCCCTTTAAGAGAGTATTATTCACCCGTCCCCTGCCATCAGCACAGTTCTTCAGACACAAAGGATATTCCACAAAGATTTCCTGAGGGCAACACTGAGAGCATCTTTTCACAGCTAATGGGCAGTGGTGAGGACACCTGTGTCTCATTCTTCCACTTCCTGGGTGAGCATCTCCCTCGTCCACATCTCCCTAACCCAGCTTAACTCTACCTAATAGCCTATCCATCCCAGAATGGGTGGCAAGTTCTTCTTAGCCACCTGGTAGAAGGGAAACTAGCATTTTGGAGACCTAATCAAAATGCTAGTCCAGCTCTCTGTTAAATAGCTCACTTCAGGTAGCTGATGTTACAGCTGTGGCTCCCGCAACACCATCTGTGAAATCATCCTCCAGAGGGCTCCAGGTCCTGGGTCCTCCACTCCCAACCAGAGTGATAAGATAGGGAACTTATGTTGTGGTTAGGATATGGTCTTCGGAGTGAGATAGGCTTGAGGTGGGCTTTGTTACTTACTAGCTGCCCAACCTCAGGCAGGATTCTTACTCTCTGAGCCTCAATTTCTCATCTATAAAACAGGGTTAAGAAAATTACCTACATTGTTGTTGGGAGGATTCAATGAATCATCTTTGAAAAGAGCTGAGCCTGTGCCTGGCACATGAGTGCTCAATAAATGTTAATAGGTCAATAGTTTTGATTACTGGAATAGGCTTCCTGTTAAGATTTTATCTGAACTAAGAGTTCCCTGTGTGTGTGTGTGTGTGTATGTGTGTATGTGTGTGTGTGTGTGTGTGTGTGTGTGCGCGTGCATATGTGTATCCACTGGACTAAAGAATCTCTAAACCCCTCCTTAGCTTCAAGATTCTATTTCTCAAACAATATTGTCCCATCCAACACCCCTCCATTCTCCCCTCTTCCCTCACTGATTTTCCTTCCCTTTAATCTTCTTTTCCACTCCCAACAATTAAGCAGCCTCTCCAGAATTTCATCACTTCTTGTTCTCTACTTAAATGCAACGTCCTCTGGTTTTTAATGCAAAAACGGAAAGACCAAGTCCACACAATCAGAGGTGAGTTAGTGGCTTATAAAGTGACTCATTAGGCTGACATCCCAACTCCTCACCCACTCCACTCCCAGGGGCTCTCCAGTCCTTTGGGCCACAGAATGAGGATGTAAAGACCCTCAGCTAAGGCCAGCCATCCAGGGGAGAAGGGTGCATATGGCTGGAGGCTAGACTGGGGTAAGGTTCAAAGAGGCTGCATTAGGCGACATCTAGGAGGTGGAAAGTTCCTGGAGACATTTTGGAGAAAAGAAGGGCTGGGGCTGCTCTGCAGGCCCTCTGAAGACTCAAAGCCTTTCCCCTTTCCACGTACAGTACCAAGGAAAGAAAGAATTACTGAAACGAAACAAATACAGCAACTGTAAGAAATATACCAAAATGCTAGCAGTGGTTGATCTAATAGAAGAGTTTTTTTGGGTAAATGTGATCATATTACTTGCATAACAAAACTTAAATCTTTAAAATTAATTATTGTAATCAGTTGCGCTTAGCCAAGAAAACAGAAAAGAACCTAGAAAAAGACTGTTTTGGCTCCCACTGAAAAGTAGCATGCTCCAGTTCTCAAAGGTAGACCATAAAGGGGGAAAACAGAAAAACCATAAACATCTGGCTCCCTACCCCTGCCCCAGCCCCTGGTGGGCTGGCGGCTCGATGAGATTCAGCTTAGAGGAAAGCCTGCCAAACAGCACCAGGCAGCAAGGCTGGAGGGGCGGGATGAGGATGAAGATGAAGATGAATGAGGAGGACTTTCCGAGGAGGACTTCCGAAAGCCACTAAGAGGACTGAGGTCCTTACCCAGCAGCTGTGGTGATGCAGAATGACCACTCCACAGCAGTCAGGAAACCTGCTTCTAGTTCTCTGCCGCTAACTCGCTGAGTGACCTTGGGCAAGTCAGGTCACCTCTCTGGGCCTCAGTTTCCTCATCTGTAAAATGAGGGGACTTGGTTAAGTTAAAAAATATGTACCAGGCCCTTACTCTGTGTACTGTGTTAAAGCTGTAATACAAAAAGGAATAAGATAGTCATTTATTCCAAAAACATTGAGTGAGTACTCCATTTACTAGGCATTGTGGTTAAAAAGATGAATAAGTCAGCGTCCCTGCCATCAAGACATTCACAACCTGGTCAGGGAAAACACCTGAGCAAACAAGAAATGGCAACTCCACCCTGGGTACAGAGGTGCGGGCACAGGAAGGAGTGGCCTTTTCTACGGGGCCCAGGTGGGGGAAGTGTCACAGAAGAGGCCTGACCTGAATCTGGAGGATCCTTGCTCCCTACTCTCAAAGACTGTACAATCTAATCAGGGGTTGGGACAAATACCCAACAGCTACCAAACAAGGCAGAGTGAAGCCACCACAGGTAATCCAAGTTCAGGGGGGAGGGGAAACCCATGTGGCTTAGGCAGGGTGGGGAAAGGGGCTGGCAGGAGGCAGAAGGAGGTCTGAGAAGCTTTGCTGAGTAGGTGAGGGAGAAGTGGCCTTGAGATAAGCCTTGAAGGATGAAGAGAGTTTCCTGAGAGCCCTGAGGTGCTGAAGAGGCATTCTAGATGAGGGGCCTGTGCAAGTAAAGGCACAATGTGAAGTCAGGGTTAGTTGGGACAGCAGGCAGGCCAGGGAGTAAGGACTAGCAAGGCTGGAAGCCAACTGGAGCCATCATGATGAGAGCCATTGGAAATGATGGGCCTTGGGCCAAGCAGTCCACATCCTCGTGCCAGTTCTTGGAGGCAGGTTCCCTCACTACTACCCCATTCTTTCAGATAAGAAAACAGGGGCTCAGAGAGGTTACAAAGTCACAAAGCTGATGGATGGCAGAAATAGCACTTAACCCAGGTCTGTCTGATGCCCCACCTTGATCTCCTTACCCCTGGAATGCCAGGCAGTGGCATTACCGAGCCCTTCTCATCTAAGGTACCAATGTCCCAGTGCACCTGGCCTGGCATTTCACCTCAGATGTGTGGGTACTGAAGGTCGATCTTTGCCTTAACCATGGAAGCCAGCTTGATGTGGCCTCTTCCACTTGGGCAGCTACAGGACTCCTTCACCAGAACAGAGGGGACAGGGCGGGGGCAAGGAATATCAGAATTGCTGAGGGTTTTTGTGCTCCATTGTCCGCTCGCCTGGGTTTATTGTTGTTCTACAACAGTGTAGGCTGGCTGGTTTCTAGCTCTTTTTCTCCCTTCACCCTAGTGTCGTCATAGCTCTGGGGCAGATCATTCTGCCTCGACTAGGGTGGCCGCCTTTTCTTGTTAGGATGGAATTGCAGCTGGAACTCACACCCTCGGATACTATCCAGGTACTGCTGGATGTTCAGGAATTCCCGTCTCCAGCGCCCCAGCTTTCTGAGCTGCTCCATCATGAACTTTTTTTTCAGGTGGTCATACAAGTGGCCCATCTTTTTCTTGGTCTTGTCTGAAGCTCTTATCTTACAAAAAACAGAGGTGCAGTTAAGATAAAGAAGCTACTTCATAGCAAGAGGCATCTGTGCCGCTGATATGGGGATGGAAAATGTGCCAGCTTGATCCAATATTCCATAAATACTTTGACTCACAGGGAGCCTGCATTTTCTTATTTGTAAAATGTGGGCATTGAGCTAGATACCTCCTGTGGTACCTTCTGACAGGAACCTGATATTGGCCTTAACACCTCTATTTGAAGACTGGTTAGAAAGAGGAGGGGTGGGGGGTGGGTGGAGAAAGGGTGCATCTAGTTCCTCTCCACTTCCTTAACTCCTATCACTCTATCTGTATTACCCATTTGGTGCTTCCCACATATTGTTGGTGACATCCCCTACATCACACTGAACTCTACTTATTTCTTCTATTACATCATTTCTGTCCTGTCCCCAACAAGACCATAAGCTCTAGGAAGGCATATCTTTTGTCTTACTCATCCATTTATTTACTCCAATGAGCTAGATGTGAAGAGGATACTAAGAAAAATCAGCCACAGGGCTTCACAGACTATACCACACTCAGGGTTGGGGGACACATGTCCAAATACTTCTACGGCAGAGAGTGATTTCATTTTCACTATGGACCAGGGTCTCTCAACCTTGGCACTATTGACCTTTGGGGTCAGGTAATTCTTTGTGGTGGGGGGCTGTCCTGTGCATTGTAGGATATTTAGCAGCACCCCTGGTCTCTACCTTCCAAATGCCAGTAGCACCACCCCACTGTCATTCGTGCTACCAAAAATGTCTCCAGACATTGCCAATGTTCCCTAAGGGGTAAAACCGTCCCCAGTTGAGAACCGCAGCCAGAGATGAAGGAATACCAGTCATCATCCACTGCTCTCAGAGCACTGCTCAGAGGATTCCCAAGACACTAGATCTTGGCTGTCCTCGTTGAGGCCCTGAGAAATGAGCGGCTAACCGAAGCTGCCTCTTGCCCTAATGTAAGCACTTTTTGGGGGGGACAGAAACACTGCCAAGCTGCCACTCAGGCCTCTCAAATCCACTGAGTTCCTACAAGCCAGGTCCTCAGCAAGTCACTGGGTTTACAAACACGAAGACAGCCCCTGTCCTTAAGGGAGAATGTCCTGTACCACGGTCAGTCAGACCTGAGTCTGCAACTCTGCAACATGCAACAATGTACCATGTGACTTTAGTGAAGTTACTCCATCTCTCTGAGCCTCAGTTTCCAGAATTATTAAATGAGATAATAATACATAATGGACGTTGAGGACCTAAAACACATATGGGCCCAATATAGCTTTAACGGGAGAACTTCTGAATGATTGGAGGATGGCACAGCCCTCTGGTACATATAAAGCCAACTCAAGAGAGTTTCCAGTTACAGGATCTCAGAAATCCTCACCCCACTTGCCAGAGGTACAATCTCTTCCCATCTACTGGTTATAGGGGCTGGCCCCCAACCCATCCCGGGCCAGTCAGGATGGCCTGCACCACCTGGCCACAGTGATTGGGGCGTGAATAGGCCCGTGACCCAAGTGGGGCCAAATGGAGTCCTTCTCCAGGATTTGTCTAACTCAAGCAACAGGGGAAGCACTCCATTTCCTTTCTGGACTACAGGCCAGGGCTTCCTGTGGCCATGCTCCCCAGGGACAGCCAGCCTGACGATGATGCCAACATGCAGAAAGAAGCAGAAAAGGAGATGAAGAGGGAGAGTAGAGGACATATCCAATGGTATTGGAGCCCCTGGCTTCTCTCATCCCCAATATTGGTGACCCTGCCCTGTCCACCCTTGGTTATGTAAACTCCTCATTCGCTATTTTGCTTGAACTAGTTCAAGTTCAATTCGTATCACCTGCAACTGAGAGGATCCTAATGGATCCCATTTTACAAATGAGAAGAGAGTCCTGGAGGAACTGTGATTCCCCAAGGTCACACAAAGCTGGCCTGCTCATCCCCAAGTCCACCCAATTTCCACTACACCATACCATGGGAAGTTTAGCAGAGGGACAAGCACCCAGGCCTCCACTCTCCTTTTGGTCTTTGTGCCCCTTAAGATCTGACGCCATCTCTTAAGCCTCCCCCACTCTTTTTGATGTCATAATTCCATGGGCCCATCCAGATTCGGCCCTGGAACACGAAAGGAAGCTCGAGAGTCAAGGGGGCAGCAGCTTCCTGCTCGGCTTGAAGAAACAAGTATGTTCTCAGAGTCCATCGTATTCACTAGTCTCTTCCTGGTGCCCAAAACAGTGCCTGTGCCAAGCAGGCCCTAAACATACACTTAATGAATTAATCAGTCAGAGTCTGTGGGGTGTTGGCACTGTGATTTCCCTCCCCTTCTTCTGAGGGCTTTTGGGTAAGCAGGTCAAACCCTACTTGTCCGTAAGCAAAAAGTAGAAGAGACTCAGTTCTCATATGGAAAATGGGGGATAATCCCTGAAGGAAAAAACTAACCAAACTGCATTGGTGCCACTGCAAGCTGTAGGACCTAAGACTTCTTTTTATGGGAGATAACAGGAATCCATTCACAGATTCCCTAAATAGAAAGGTAACGTGCTTTGAGAAAAAAAGTGCCACAAGAGCCAAGAGACTCGGCCCAGGAACAGCTGTGACACCTTGAGCAATCAGTAACCCCGAGTCTCAATTGCCTCCTCTGTAAAATGGGGCTTGCATAGAGCACCTTGATGGCTCCCTATCACCTCTAAGATCTGTGATCTACCCCCAAGGTATCAGGGAGAGTGAAATGAACCCAAGGTATCAGGGAGAGTGAAATGAACATGGGTCAAGCCACTAACACCCTCTAATGCAAATGCTGGTGACGACTTTACCTCCATCTCATAGATTCGTTGTGCACAGAGGTTGTCACGAGTAATCACTCGAGATAAGCGGCTCTTGGGTAAAAATTTTTTCACCGCTGCTTCACTGGCATTCATTAAGCTGGAGAGGGAAGGGGAAGGTGGTACAGGTTGAGATGGCTGGGGCCAGGGCTAGGACAAGGCCTGATTTGATGGGGTCCTGGGATAGTAGCTGAGGCTTCCCCAGATTTCTTGGAAGAGGCACAGCTCTGTCACAATTATCAGATGAGCAAGGGAGTAGGCCTAGGTTTCTTCTTGTGGAAAACATGCACTAAAGGGGTGTCTTTTGGATACTGAGAGGAAAAGCCATCCTGAGAAGGATGTAGAAAGGCCCCGAGCAATTCAAAAGAGAAGTGTCAATAGGGACTTAGAACTATCCGCAGGCGCAATCATCTTAAGGAGAAAATGCAGGATGAAACAGGAGGTGGGGGTCTTAGAAGAGAGAAGCAAAAGTTGTAGGGTAGGGTTCAGAGGGATGAATCTGAAGGAGGGTGGGGTGGGAGGCCCTGGCTCCAGACCCTAGGTCTAAGGGAGATCAGGGCCAGGGTGGGGAGGTCAGAGGAAGCAGGGAAAAAAGAATAAAGAGTTTGGACAGAGGTTAGGTTGGTTAACAGGGGAATTCTAAGGGAAAAGGGTTTGGAAAAAGTCTAGAAAAGTGAGGAAAATTTGGGATGGATAAAGGTTTGAGGAGACTCTGGAGGGTGAGAGGTAGAAGATGGGGTGGGGTGGAGTGGAGTGGACCCAGGGGCTCCAGGTGAACCCAGAGACAACAATTTGGTCAAAATGAGGAATGGGTCAAAAATGGATAATACAAGGCACTGAGTTTTCACTTTTTGATAATTTGGTTACACCACGAAGTGGTTTTGCAACTATGTACCTTTAAATGTTTTTGCCCACTTAAAAATAATTGCTCATATCTTCTTTCTAAAACTTGGAAACTATATAAATGTATAATAGGGTAGCAACTGAATAAATTGTGGTTAGATCATACAATAAAATACTATGCAGTTATAAATAAAACAGATATCCATAATGTGTTAGGTGGGGGAGAAAAGCAAGTCACAAAATAGTAAACTTTTTTTGTGACATATTCCCCACCCCGCCCCAAAATGTGTAAGCATGTTGTAGTACATATATATGAATGGATATGGAACAATATACAACAAAACATTAACAGTGATTGTCTCTGGCCATTCATTTTGCTTCCCTGTCTTGTCTGATTTTTCCATAATAAGTGTATAGTACTTTGATATGACAAAATAGACAATTTTTAAAGGATAAAACATTTTGAAGGATTAAAAAAATTTTTTTCTAATTAATTTTCAGCCAATTTGGCACTATAGTTTTATGAATGTTTTTACATTTACAAACTGGTAGAAACAAACGTCCCCAACCTCCCGTTTACATTTTTCTAACAGCAAAGGTATGAGGTGATGGAAAAGGCTGGTTTAGAGATGAAGATGCTCACGTACAAGTTCCCCAAATCCTGTTAAAAAAAAAAGACCTAAAATATTTAAAGACACATAAAACAATCTTCACCCACTCAGTGGTGCACCAAATTTACCAATACTTCCTGGGAAGGAAAAAAAAAAAAGGCAGTGACTGGAAATATTCCCTTTCAATTAATAAATAATAATCATTTTGAACCAAATTGCTTTCCAGAGCAAGGCCTCGGTGGGAGCCTGGAGGATGCTGTGACGGCGGTTGTGACACGGAAGGGGGGAGGGGAAACTGGGGTTGGCGGGGACCGGGACCTGGCCTAGGGAACTGGGGGCTTCCCCAGGGCCACTGGGGAACGTAGAGGCTGAGAGAGGAGTCAGGCCTGAGGGGTCCCGGGCCTCGCCTGGCTCTAAGGAAATTCAAGGCTCAGCCCAAAGGGCGCTGGGGACCCTCGGGCTACGCGATGTCAAGCCTGGGAGCCTATAGGGCCGGGCGATTCGGCTATGTGGGTTGGAGGCGGGAATTTCGGCTTCCCCCGGCCTCCTGGGGGTGGGAAGAGCTGGACTGGGAAGGAGCTGGGGCCCCCGTCTGTGAGAATTTCAGACTCTCCTGGGGTCAAAGAAAGGGCCGGGCTCTAAGGAGCACAAGGCTCCGGGAGAGCCAGGGCCGGGGTCCCAGGGGCCGGCTGAGGGAGCGGGGGGTCTGAGGGAGTTCGGGCTCCCCCAGGGGAGCCGGGGTCTGACGAACGCTCTGCGCACCCGGGCCGCACCTGAAAAGCACCAGCGGCTTCGCGGTCCGCGGCCGCAGGAAGCAGATCTGAGGCCGGGCCCCTGCGTTGACTTCGGGGCAGCTGCCGAGCTTATTGCGCCGGACGAAGGCCGAGGCCGGGTTGGTACGGGAACTGGTGGTCGCCTGGACGGCGGCCGCAGACGCCGTGGACGAGCCCAGGTTCCATGTGACCGTGGGCCTGGGCTGCTGAGTAGTCGGGTCTTCCACGCTCGAGAACGACTCGGGAAGGGCAGCCAGGTTGGAAGCCATGCCCGGTGGGCGCGAGCAGACGCGGAGTGAGGCCTTGCGCAGACGCGGTACGCGGAGACTAGCGCGTTGCCGGGGAGACGCGAGACAGCGGCACGACAGGGGGGCTGCAGCGGCGCGCGGAGCGCGAGAAGCTGCGGACGCGGCAGGATTGTCCCTCGGCGGCCGCCGTGTTGCGACACGGAGCGTTGCCGTGGAGACGGGCTGGGCGAGACGGGTTGGCCTGCAGAGCGCTGAGCAGATCCTACTGCTTGTTCACGACTGCTGTGGTTCCCGCGTGATCGCGGGGCAGGTAACCAGGTGAGTCCGGGCAGGGCAGCTCCAAGGAGGGAGACGAAGCCGGGGTTTCTCCGAAGAAGTCGATTCCTCCCCGCGACGAGGGACCATTGCTATGGAAACCAGAGCGCCCGGCCGGCAGGGATTGTGGCTCTCGGGTCGTGACCCGTCTTGTCTCTCCCTGACACCTTCGGCCAAGGCTTCGTGTGCGATTGCTTCGTGAACGAACCTGCCCTCCCGCCCGCAGGAGAGAGGTAAGATAGTCGGAGTCTTGACACTGAGCAGGCGAAGAAGCCTCTTCCAACACCAACTGCCCAGGAAACCTACCTGGCTCACCCCAGCAAGCGGCGCCTCGTTCTGGTCAAATGTGGACTTTGTTCCACCTTTATAACAGTATTAACGAACGCCCCGTGGTGTTTGCCGACTTTTCCCTCATAGAATGAGAACAGAAAGACTGGCTTTCGGACCTTACTTTATGACCCTAGACAGGTCCTTTTCACCTCTCTGCCTCATTTTCCCCTTGTGTAAAATGGAGATACTAGCTCCAGACACCGGCGTATTATGTTGCTTTGGAGATGGAACCAGATGAGGGAAGCCAAAGGCTTTGTAGGCTATAAAATGGTGAATCTGAACTGCGGAGTCGCTATTTCCCCACCTCTCTCCCCCTCGCGCTAAATGTTCTTCAGATCTTTGTGTCATTCTTCAGGCGATCTTTGCAACTCTCTGGCCCCGAGCCTGAAATAAATCCCCTTACTCTTCACTTCCGTAATGCCCTGTATTTTAACTTTCCTAACAACAGCAAGAATGGTTATCATTTACAGAGGGCTCACCCTGTTCCAGGCCCTGTGTTAAACACTGCCTGGGTGTTACCTCATTTAATCCTCAGAAGATCCTTATAAGGTAGGCACTGTTATCCCTGTCTGCCAACTCTGTTGCACCTGTAATTGCCTATTTAATGCCTGTCTCTCCCACTAGACTTTGAGCTCTGTAAGAGACAGGGCCATGGCTGTCATGTACATTTCAGTATCCTCAGTACCTAATACAGTGCCTGATAAATACTTCTTGACTAACATGAAGATAATTCTCCTCCCATCGCTATCCTCATCTTATAGAGCAGTGTCTCCTCTGCAGACTTTCTGTCGCTGTGATGAACAGCAGTCTCCCCTATTCCTGTTGCCCACTGGACACTAGTTTTGGGGGCCCCCAGTCCACTTCTCTCTCGGTTTTTGGATGATGAGGATCCAGAACATCCCTTAGCATTTAGGCTTCCAACTGGGTTTGGGGAGGGGCTTTTTCCCTGCCCTCACATGACTGTTAGAACAAACCAGCCCCATCTGCCCTTCCTGGGGTCAGCCTGATGGATTTGACCCCGGGGCACTGACAGGTAGGATTTGCCTATGCAGCCTTTGTCCTTCCTCTCCAGCAGACTAGGAACGACCCTCATGTCCAGCCAGCCCCTCCCCAAAATTCTAGAGAAACGTGGCCAGAGAACTCATCCTTTCCAGAAAACCTCTCAGAAGGCAGAGTCATGGTTGTTGGAGTCATTCCTTCATTCCACAAAAATTTATCAAGCACCTACTTGTGGGGACATGGAGCTTGGCACTGGTGATACAGTAGGAGTGAAGATAGACACAGTGATATCCCCATAGAACTCACAGACAGATCAAGGCAAAACCACGTCTTCAGGAAGTGTTAGGAAGGAGAACACATGGGGCCTTCCTGGAGCAGGAACTTGATCAAATGTGGGGAGAGCTATGGTCCCAGGAGGTTTCCCTCAGAAAGTGACCCTTGGCTAAGATCCCAAGGCTCACCAGGGCTGAATGGAACAGATCAGGATCTGACAGGCTTATAAGGAACAGGGGTTCTGGGCTGAGACAGCAGCAAAGGCAAAAGCCCCGGGCCAGAGAGGACCAGAGGTCCATATGGAACTGCAAGTGGCTCAGCCTAGCTGGGGCCCTTCAGGATGTAGGAAAGGCTAATAGGAACCTGGAGAGTGGGATAGGAGCCAGGCCACAAATGCATTGACAGCCAAGCTAAGAGGCTCCATCTTATTCTGACAGGGGGCAGCCACTTAAATATACTAATCAGGGAAACAGAACTTCTGTTCCTCATTTGTCTGTGCTGGGTGAAGACTGCCATTTGGCCTTGAGAGGTTTGCTCTAAATCCGAATGCTCCTGTTGCACTGAAGCACGTGAAGATGTGATATTTTTGCAGCTTTATTCAAGAGAGAGTGAGGGGCCTGGGATTTCTTAGGAGAAGGTGAGAGTCTGCCCCTCCCTGGGGTGCATGCCACACCCCTGCTGCACACAGCATTGTGCTGGTATGGCTTGTCTACCTGAGGTCCCTCTGTATTTGCCCCTGGGGGCTGCTGCAGTGCCCCTCATGCTGGCCTCCAGGAGGCTTTCAGCTACCCTCTTCCCCAAGCCCTCCTTAGCGGCAAGGTGCAGAGCGTGGTTACTGATGTAGGAGTCTGTAATTTGACATCTGTTTCACATGGGCACATGCTGTCTCTTCAAAAAGATGGTTCTTGGAGCGGGGAAGCTGAGACCTTCCTCTCTCTTATACCACCAGTGACTCCCAGCACAGTGGGCTCTGGGTTCATGTCACTGAACCCAGAATCTCATGATTTGAGCATAAAGTCTGAGGACTGAGGATGGAGACTATGCATGTGGTTCCCACTTAGAGGGGCTGGAAGGAAGGAGAGGATTTTGAAGAGAAGGGAGAAGAGGGCTTTGTAAGCCTAGAAGGAGAGTCTGACCAGGGCACAGCTGAAGGACACAAGTCAGCCTGCCCAACTAGACATGTGGGGCTGCTCAAGGGAGGGAGTGTCAGGCTCAGGGGCTTGCTCTTTGTCTGGTAGGACAGCGCACATTAGAGCTCCTGAGAAGCATGCTGAAAATGCAGATTCATGCTCCTCACCCTGAGAGCCTACCCAGTGGGTTTGGGGCGGAGCCTGGGTATCTGTATTTTTAATAAGCTCCCTGGGTAATCCTTCTGTGATGGTCAGAGAACCACTTTGGGGAATTCTGCTATAGGCCCATCCCTCCATTTCCCAGAAATCCCCTGAGATTGGCTTGCTGGCCCAGCTGGGCTCCTGCCCTCTAAACATTCTCCCTCCTTGCAGTTTTCCATGACGCAGCCTAGCAGAAAGATGCAGCCTTTATGCCTCACGGGCCACTGACCCACCAGCCTGATGACAGCACCCCCGTGTACCTTCCCGGTTCAGTTCCGGCAGCCCTCGGTCAGCGGCCTCTCACAGATCACTAGCAGCCTGTATATCAGCAATGGAGTGGCCGCCAACAACAAGCTCATGCTCTCCAGCAACCACATCACCACGGTTATCAACGTCTCGGTGGAGGTGATGAACACCTTATACGAAGACATCCAGTACATGCAGGTGCCTGTGGCCGACACGCCTGTCTCACGTCTCTGTGACTTCTTTGACCCCATCGCCGACCACATCCACAGTGTGGAGATGAAACAGGGCCGCACGCTGCTGCACTGTGCCGCCGGCGTGAGCCGCTCAGCTGCCCTGTGCCTCGCCTACCTCATGAAGTACCACGCCATGTCCCTGCTGGACGCCCACACGTGGACCAAGTCCTGCCGGCCCATTATCCGGCCCAACAACGGCTTTTGGGAGCAGCTCATCCACTATGAGTTCCAGCTGTTTGGCAAGAACACTGTGCACATGGTCAGCTCCCCTATGGGGGTGATCCCTGACATCTACGAGAAGGAGGTCCGTTTGATGATTCCACTGTGAGCCATCCCACCAGCACCTGCACTGGGGCCAGAGGTGCCGATCTGCCATTGATCCAACACCAAGATCTGAACTTGAACGTTCTACTTTTGTTGATGCAGAAAAATCCAGATGATGCCTTTTATAAGGGCAAGAAAAAAGGAAGAGTACTGCAGCTGTAACCTTGTAATCCATATCTTTAAAGATTAAACTTACTAAATGTAAGATGGTGAAGATAAGTTTCCTACCCTATGATTGACAGGTCCTGGCTACTGGCAAAAGGGGAGGGTGAGGCAGGTGGTGCCCAAGTCAAATAGACCAATGCCCAATGTGTTATGGCAAGCCTGGAATCCTGCAGCTCTCCCCAGCCTGACTAACCCAGGAGTGAGTCTGCCACAGTCCCACCTCATTCTTTTCTAACCCAAAACCAGAACCTTAAGCATCATGACACCTCCTGTTCTTCTCACAGTAAATGCCAACCTACTGGGTAAGTGGCCTTCAACCGGTACTCCAGGAGCCCTGGGGGCCCCAGGACAACCCTGCTTCCACCTCCAGCCACAGGGACCCAACCCTGGTTTTCTAGATTGGATTTACTTATAAGATAGTTTTCAAAGAAAGCATTCCACTATATAAAATTTTTTAAAAATATTTTTTTGAGTGCTGTTGTACTTGGCCTCAAAGTGCCCTTGGTGATGGCCTACCAGCCTTTGATGAAATGTGGCATTAGTCTCCTTCTCTGGGGCACATGTGGAGAGCTGGCCTGACATAGGCCCCCCTCTAACAGGCCTTCGCTCGGAAGGCTGGAGCTGCAGACCAGAATCTAACCTTGTCACTTCTTCCCCATGTGATCTGAGGCCTCTTGGAGCCACGGTTTCCTCATCTGTCCAAGCAATGACAGCTCTTTTCTCACAGGATTGTCGAGAAGAGTCAATGATTCCTTAGTACAGTGCTTGGCACGTGGTAGGTGCTTAGTGTAACCAGCAGCTCGCGTCATAAATGGTGCTCTGGCCCTGCTGCTCTGGGTCGGCACAGTCAGTCTTATAACGGCAGTTCCCCCATCTGTGCACAGCCCTTTATTGTTTACAAAGTGCTCTTCCTAAAAGTCATCCTGTGTGAAAAAAAAAATGGTTTAAGTCCTTTCAGACCCTACCTTAGAGGAGGCCTAGACTTTGAAGCCTTTTCAGAGTTCCCCTTTTGTTTAATCAGTGTGCAACCTGGGGGTCCTAAAGCAAGGAGCACACTTCCAACTTCCCCCAAAAGGCCTTGTTTAGATCGCTGACCGTTAGAGCCAGTGCCCTGGTCTGGCTAAGCCACGAGTCCACGGGGGCACGTGCCAAAGGGGCAAATGAGTGGGCCCCACCAGTAGGCCCCCAAATCCAGTATTGTTCAAAGGCCCCAAGGGCCTGAGGATCTAGCTCAAGTCCAGCTATTATAATCCAGAGGTTTTCAGACAAACAATATATGAGACAAAAGCACAACTACTCAGGTCCAGAGTGGAGTGGAGGTGGAGGTCCACTGTCCTTTCTCTCCAAACCTACCCCACCCCCACTTCCACAAAGGGCATGCCCAGGGGTGCAATTTTAGGGTTGGAGGGAGAAGGAAAATCAGTGTTCTAGACTGATCTTCTCATGTTACAGATGAATAAACAGACCCACAAACACCAGGGCTGGTGTAGCAGAGCCCTCACAAAGCAGCCTTTATGGAAGAAACCCGGATGAAAAATTTCTTTTACAGCATTTTACAGATAAATTTATTTGGATACATTTTGTTTCCATTTTTAAAAATTTTAAATTATCATACCATAAAATCAACTTTTTCATATGTGCAGTTCTATGTGTTTTAACACATTTTGTAACTACCTCCACAGTCAGGATACAGAGTAGTTCCATCACCCAAAAAATTCCCTTATGCTGCCCCTTTGTAGTCAAGCCTTTGCCCCACCCCAGCATCTGGCAAACACTGATCTATTCTCCATCCCTATATATTTGCCTTTTCCAGAATGTCACATACATAGAATCATAGAGGATGTAATCTTCGGACACTGGCTTCTTTCGGTGTGATATCTTTGAGATTCATACATGTCACTTTTTACAGCTAAGTAGTATTCTATTGTATGGATGTACCACAGTTTGTTTTACATTCACCCATTGAAGGGTATTTGGGTCGTTTCTAGTTTTGGGCAATTTTGAATAAAAATTTGTATATAGGTTTTTATGTGAACATAAGTTTTCATTTATCTAGTGTGTATATCTTGGAGTGGGATTGCCAGGTCATATGGTAAAGGTTATGTTTAACTTTACAAAAAACTACCAGACTTCCAGAGTGGCTATACCATTTTGTATTCCACTGTGAGATCCAGTTTCTTGCCAGTATTTGGTATCGCCAGTATTTTTTATTGTAGCCATTCTGATAGGTGTGTGGTGTTAGCTCATTGTGGTTTTAATTTGCATTTCCCTAATGGTTAGTGATGTTGAGCATCTTTTTGTGTGCTTAATTGCCTCCCACATACCATCTTTGGTGAAGTATCTATTCAACTCTTTTGCCCATTTCTAAATTGGGTTAGTTTTTCACTGTTGAATGTCGAGAATTCTTTATAAATTCTGGATACAAGTCGTTTGTCAGATATGGATTTGTAAATATTTTTTCCCAGTCTAGCTTGTCTTTTCATTCTCTTAAAAGTATCTTTTGCAGAGCAAAAGTTTTTAATTTTGATGAAGTGCCACTTACCAATTTTTCCTTTTCTGGATTTGGTATCATGTCTAACAACTCTTTGCCTAACCCCAGATCACAAAGATTTTCTCTAATATTTTAAAGTTTGAGAGTTTAAATTTTTCACTTATTTCTATGATCCTTTTTTAAAAGGTGTGAGGTTTAGTTTGAGGTTCATATTTTTTCATATGGATGTCTAATGGTTTCGACTCCATTTGTTGAAGACTGTTCTTTCTCCATTGAGCTGCCTTTCCCCGTAGGTCTATTTTTGGACTCTTTATGTTCTATTTAATATATGTGTCTTTCTCTTCACTAATACCACACTATCTTGATTACTGTAGCTTTACAGTAAGTCTTAAAATTGGATAATGTGTCTTCCAATTTTCTTCTTTGTCAAAAAATTGTTTTGATTATTCTAGTTTCTTTGCCTTTCCATATAAATTTTAGAATAAACTTGTCTATATCAACAACAACAATAAAAAACCTGCTGGCATTTCGATTGAAGTTATGTTAAATCTATTGACCAATTTGAGGAAGATTCCATTGAATCTTCTGATCCATGAACACGGTATGTCTCCCTACTGATTTAGGTGCTTGATGTCTTTCATTAGTGCTTGGTAGTTTTCAGCATACAGAGCTTATATATTTTATTATATTTATACTTAAATATTTCATTTGAGAAAGGGCATTGTAAAAAATTTTTTTTTAATTTTGGTTTCCAATTGTTCATTGTTAGTATATAGAAGTACAGTTAATTTTGTGTTGCCCTTATATCCTGTGACCTTGCTAAATTCACTTATTCTAAGAGCATTTTTGTAGATTCCTTGGCAATCTACATGTAGACAGTCATGTCATCTGCAAATAGAAGTAGTTTATGTCTTTCTTTCCAATCTGAATGCCTTTGATTTCTTTTTTTATTACACTGGCTAGAACTTCCAGGATGATGATTAATATGAGTGGTGAGAATAGACATTCTTGCCTCGTTCCTGATTTTAGAAAGTGTTCAGTCTTTTACCATTAACTATGATGTTAGCTACAGGGTTTTTGTAGTTGTCCTTTATTAGGTTAAGGAAGGGTTGGAAAGTATTTTCTCTTCTATTTTCTGGAAGAGAGGTGTGAATTGGTGTTATTTTTTCTTTAAATGTTTGGTAGAATTCACCAGTGAAACCATCTGGACCTGGAGATTTCTTTTTCAGAAGGATTTAACAATGAATTCATTTCCTTTTATAGTTAAAGACTATTCAAGGGGCTGGCCGGGTGGCGTAGTGGTTAGGTTCACGTGCTCCACTTCGGCGGCCTGGGGTTCGCCAGTTCGGATCCTGCGTGCAGACCTACCCACCACCCATCAAGCCATGCTGAGGTGGCGTCCCACATAGAGTAACTAGAAGGATGTACAACTATGACACACAACTATCTACTGGGGCTTTGGGGAGAAAAAAAAAGGAAAAAAGATGTTAGGCAACAGATGTTAGCTCAGGGCCAATCTTCCTAAAATAAATAAATTAAATAAATAAATAAATACAAATAAAGACTATTGAAGTTATCTGTTTCATCTTGAGTGAGTTTTGGTAGCTTGTGATTTTTGAGAAATAGGTCCATTTCATCTAAATTGTCAAATTTATGCATGTAGATTTGTTTGTAGTATTCCTTTATTATCTGCAGGGTCTATAGTAATATCACCTCTTCATTCTTCATACTGATAATTTGTCTTCTTTCTTTATTTCTTTGTTAGTCTGGCTAGAGATTTATCCATTTTTAAAATCATCTTGAAGAACTACCCACCTTGTGTTTTTTCTCTATTGTTCTCTATTTCATTGATTTTTGCTCTTTATTACTTCCATAGTTCTGCTTGCTTTGAGTTAATTTTGTTATTTTTTCTAATTTCATAAATTGGAAACTTAGATTATTGATTTGAGACTTGCATCCCGCAAAATTTTTTTTTTTTTGTGAGGAAAATTGGCCCTGAGCTAACATCTGCCAATCCTCCTCTTTTTGCTGAGGAAGACTGGCCCTGGGCTAACATCCATGCCCGTCTTCCTCCACTTTATATGGGACGCCACCACAGCATGGCTTGACAAGCAGTGCATCGGTGCGCACCTGGGATCGAACTGGCGAACCCCGGGCTGCTGCAGCGGAGTGCGTGCACTTAACCGCTTGCGCCCCCCGCAAAGTTCGATATACTTCATTTTCATTTTTGTTTATTTCAAAATATTTTCTAATTTCCCTTGAAATGTCCTCCTTCACTCATGTATTATTTAAAAGTGTGTAGTTTGATTTCTAAGTATTTGGAAATTTTGCAACTGTCTTCCTGTTTTTCGTTTCTAGTTTAATTCCATCATGGTCAGAGAACATATAATGTATGATTTCATTTATTTTGAATTTGTTAATGTTTACTTTATGATGTAGGATATGGTCAACCTTGGTGAATCCTTCCTGTGCACTTGGGAAAAAAAGGTTATTTTGAATGTCGTGTTCAATAAATGTCAATTAGGACCAGTTGATTGGTGGTGGTTTCAATTCTTTTACACGCTTTCCTGATTTCCTATTTACTTGTTCTGTTGATTATTGAGAGAGGAGTGTTGAAGTATTCAACTAAAATTGTGGATTTGTGTACATCTCCTTTCAATTCTATTAATTTTCGTTTCATATATTTTGAAGCTTTGTTGTTAGGTGCATACATATTTAGGATTCATATGTCTTCATGGTGAATTGACCATTTTAACAGTATGCAGTGTCTCTTTATCTGTCTTGATCTTTTTGAAGTTTACTTTGTCTGATATTAACATAGCCACTTCAGTTTTGTTTTAAGTAGTATTTGCATGATATATCTTTTTACATCTTTTTACTTTTAACCTATCTATATTGTTATGTTGCAACTGGGTTTCTTGTAGACAGCATATAGTTGGGTCTTTTTTTATATATCCAATCTATCTTTTAATTGGTATGTTTAGACCAAAATTATTGATATTTGGATTTAGGTCTACCATTTTATTGTTTTCTGTTTGTCCTTTCTGTTTTTCATTCCTCTTTCCCTATTCCTGCCTCCTTTTGGATTATTGAATATTTTTTAAGTATTCCATTTTAATTTTGTATAG